AGAAAGAATAGGTGAAAAAAGATCAGTGACCTGCTTCTGGATATAAAGATTAGACTGAATGATTGGAAATACTATTACAGCATTCAGCAAGACTGTACTAACAGCCAAGCCAAATAACCAAAAAAATTAACACCTTGAGAAGGGTAATCACCCAAATACATGAACTCTTCTACACAGAACAGTATGTCCAGCATTATAAATCCACCAATAAGACAAATTCCTATTCCCTGATATAATCACAGCATCCCCATATACACCACGTTTGTTATATTGAAACCCAATTACAACCTTAGTTATATTGAAAATAAATCCTCAATCATAAGGAGTTACAGCACTACCAGATGGCCTTCTACCTATGAGAAAAGTGAAATCCTTCTATGGCATCAAGTATGCCAGATAATGAACTCAGAATTCCTCCAAATATGTCATCTTAATAGACAATGCATAAAAACAGACATACAACCATAATCAGATAAAAGAAGACACAGGTAGTGACAAAGATACACCATTCCTTGGTTCCAATTTATATGACACACTTCCAATATCTGGACATTCCAAAATGTTGCTATTCAATTTCTATAGTAATATTTACAATTGAAATTCCTTAAAGTAACAAAATTCCTTTTTTAATAACTGTTAAGATGCACATGGACTATCCTACCATACCTGCACCCTCCTACCAATATTATCGGGTACCTATAACCACCAAGACTTACTAAGATGGGAGAATTCAAACTTTATCTCCCATATTCTTCAGTTCAATTGTGTCACTACGCTAAATTTAATATCTTTTTTAACCCTTGTCTCCCATAATCTTCATTCAATTGCACTCAATAGGATAACACTAGCATTGCAACTTTTTACAAATTATAACTTTGATACTGAACCATAAAATTTAATATCTTTTTAACTTTACTACTATTACTACACTACATATAACTCAAAACAACATTAAGGAATGTGGATAATACCTTTCCCATCTCCAAGTAGACAGCAGCACGGTTAGTAATGAATGAAATATCCTCATCATCAAGCTCAATAGCCTTGCTATAATGCTGAATTGCAGTCTCGAAATCCTTCTTCTTGTAAGCCGCATTACCCGCCTCCTTCTCCTTCTGTGCCTTTGCTTTCCTCTCTTTAATCTCCTTCTCCTCCTCACCCACTTCCATTGGCTCGGGCTCCGGCTCCGGTTCGGGCCGTTTCTTCTCCTCCTCCGCAGGCCTCTTCCTCTCCGGCGAAGGTTCCGGCATCTCAGCATCCTCCTCCTCCGGCATCCTCGTCGACAATTTCACACCTAATAAAACCCCAAGCGCTTGCATTACTCTCTGATCTTTCAGATAAAGGTTTAGATTATTCTGATTCTTCTGAATATCTTTCATCATGTTAACAAAATCGGGCTGGTTCAAGTAAGCCCGTGTACTTGAGTCCGCAGTCAACTTAGCCCACATCTCCGGCCCGGAAAACGCATCACCAAAAGGGTTCGCGGAACTAGCCGGGCCACGAGATCGGGCCTGAGCTGCCTGAGCATCAGAAAGGCCAGATTTTAAGGCCTCGTTATTTGGATCAATTTCAAGGCCCTTCTTGTAAGCAGAAACGGCT